TTCCGGAAAAAAATTTTTGGTACTAGTCGGGCAAAATCCCGAAAAGTCGGGCAATTTTCTTTCCGCCCCCCTAATTTTTTCCTTCCGGTACGCCCATGGTGAGATGTTTGTGGTGGAGTGGGGTGTAGCACCGCGGTATTGTCGTCCAAATGAACTTCAAAAGTAGGGAAATTCGGCAGCGAAACAGCCATTCACTTAATGTATTCTAGCCTGAAGCTAAATGCCAATTAAAGTTATCGTTTGGCTTCGTAACGTTTGCTGTTTGCTTCTTGAACATCAACAGTATGTATTCTTTTTTTTGTTTTATATCTTATAGTTTACTAGATTTACAATCCTAGGCCTCGTCGCCAGATATAGTGACCCTTCGCCTGCTGTAGAAGAACTAACCTTTATTACTAAACTAACGATTATTTACATACAACTATATTGGATACTAATTAGAATATTAATAAGGTAACATGGAATATTAATGACGACATTACAGTAACTTGTTGGTGACACTGAAAAAGTTTGGCGTGGTACATGTCACTCATATGTAGTTTATCCTAGGCTTCCAACAACTCAAATCTATAGAGACTGGCTCTGGGATATGCTATCAACTGGCAAAAATTTTTAAAATCTAAGATATTTACAACACAACGTTTAACATTTTTAAAAAGAAATTGAATCATTTCAAGATAAAAGACATGACATAAGATTCACAAAGCATGCATGGTTCAGTTGCTACAATCATAGTACAATATCCAATCTCCCTTCTAATTCCATTTTTCGTCCGGTCCAATGTTTTGCTTATATTTTGGACTTTGGAGAAAAGGGACCTTGACTGGGGGCGGGAGAGGGGAAGGTAAAATTATTGATTGGGGGGCTAGCATGGGGGCTAGGGGGGGGGGTGCATTATTGTTTTGGTCGTGTTTTCATATTTCCGTGGCATGATGCCATAACGTTGAATATTATTTTTTCAGATTCAACGTTTGACGTCACTGAGTTGAATATTATGCCAAAACTCCATATTTGGTCAGCTATTCAGTTGATATAAAGATTTCACTGTTAGCTGTTAGCCAATCAGAAACATGAATCTTCTAAATAAATAATAATAATAATATTGAATCAGGTTTGAGCATGATATGAAGAATAATCAAGGTGAGAAGTTTGTGTAATCAACCAAAGCCGAAAGCTGAGGTTGACAGCACAAACTGATGGCTTGATAATTCTTCATATCTGGCGAAATTCAATATCCAAGGAAAAAGTTATTTTGCTTACCTCAGAATGACATTTCGTCAAAAAATTTTTCTTCAAGATTGGTTTAGAAACAAACTTGAGGTAGGGTTAGGTTAGGGTTAGGGTTGGGGTAAGGATTCGGGTTAGAGTTGGTGTTTGGAATAGGCCATAGGGTTGTGTTAGTGTTAGTAAATCCGTTGCTTTGTTAATTAACAATTATTGAATGAGGTTGAGCACGATATGAAGAATTATCAAGCCCGAAGTTTGCCGTTATCAAAGCTTCGGTTGATAACGGCAAACTGTGGGCTTGATAATTCTTCATATTGTGAGAAAACCGAATTCAATAATTGTTTTATTATTTATTTAAAAAATTCAAAACAAACGGTCGTCCATTTGTTCGCCCGCGTTTATCAGCCAATCAAGAATTAAGAAACTTAGTATCATTCTTATTCTAGAAGTTTTTGTTGATCTTTTTGTATTTAACAAATCTTTATCTTCCAGTAATTTTTCAATTTCGGCTTCGCCAAAGTTGGCGAACCTTTCAGTGGAAGAAGCCATTTGTATTTTATTTGTATTAAGAAAAAAATAATTCTTAGTCCTTTGGCAGCCGTCGTCGTCGTCATAGGGAGCTTTAGATTTGACTACAAGTACGACTACGAGTACGAGATTTAATCGCGTGCGAGGAAATTACCGTAGTCGTTTTCGTTTCCATTTAAATGTTGCTTTTGTAGCAGTAAACCAACAACGAGAGAAAAAGTTTCATAAACTAAATCTCCTGCAGACTAAAATCCCCTACAAAACGTGAAAATAAGCCATAACATTAGAAACAGGCCAGATATTTAATACTAATATATTATTTGCGCGGATAAACGCTATATAAATGCTACAAATTATTTTTGGTAAACAAAAAAAGCCAACTTTCTTTTTTTTTTTGAAAAGTTGTCGTAAGGACTACGAGAGTTCTCCACAATTTCGTTCTCAGATGGGCGACGGCTACGACTTTTTCGCGTCAGTACGGGATGGCGTAAGCATACAGCATGCGTTTCACTTGACGAAGCTCGTACTCGTAGTCGTACTCGTAGTCAAATCTAAAGCTCCCTAATAGCACAGAGTAGATAAGACATACAGAGACGTAACTGACCGTTGTAAACACTGCGGAAGATTACGTTATCATGTACCCACTTTTTTTCAGGCTGACCGGGCGAAAAATGATCAACTGCGCGTGCTCAGCAAGTTTAAAGTGAGTCGTCATCAGGTCGTCATCCAATCAGATGCATGCATCTATAGTAACTTGCCGAGCATGCGCACAGAAAAAGTGGGTACACCTGTTACGTCTCTGTATGTCTCTACTCTGTGCTATTAGGGAGCTTAAGCATGTAGAACGGAAACACGACGGCGACGGCCAAAACAAATTCCTTCAAATAAATGATAGTAGTACAGAAAACTTGTCGTATATTATAATTCGTATGAATTTAATACAATATAAGAAGTTGAAAACATTGGCTTTATATATGTTTGGGAAGAGTTCTACTGAACCGAATTTTAAGTTGCACTTGTTACGGTTTGAAATGCAGGCGTTGTACGTATAAAAGACGTGAAAATCTGTGATTTGCCGTTGTAAACAGAGAGACGACTACGTCTGAAACTCCCCTGAGACTTTAATTATTTATTTCTTTTCATTGACTCATTGTATTGGTTGCCGTCGTCGTCGTGTTGCCGTCCTACATGCTTAAGCTCCCTATCAATGGCGTCAGCGAGTCAATATGATTCTCGTCGTCATAGTAATATGGCGCAAACGCGTCCAAATTTTTTTCATATTGACACTTTGACGTCATTTTGCTAATATGAATGTGAAAAATCCGTATTTGGTTAGCCATTGAGTACCCTGGTTGCCAGAGGTTCTGCATCTTTCGCCTTATTCCCGCTCGTATTTATTTTACGCGAGGCGAAGAGAACCTCTGGCAGCACGCGAATCTCACTTCCATGCTGACGTTGCCATTTG